AGTCCTCCCTGCTCCGGTGGTCACATGTAGCCATGGTTACCAGAGCTCTACCAGAGAAATTGTGTTTAGGCTGAGACCAGCTAGAGGGAGGGATGGTAGGCAAAAAGTAATCTTATTGGCTGGTTAGTTTCTGGTTTATTTGTTAGGGGCTTCTCATTGAATGCCATTCAGTTCTAGTACTATGCTATGAACCCGCAATAAGAGGGCCTGGACCTGGTCTCTGAAGCCTGTTTGAGGTCTCAATAGGAGCTATATGGGAACCCTGATAGAGAAGTGGGGTGCTCTTTACAGGGCTTTGTAAACAAATAAAACTTATAAGCACTCATTCTTAGGTGCTTCTGTGTTATCATTTTTATTTTTAAAGAAAAGGCGAAGTTATGTGTCTAAGTGTCTTATTTTATAACTTATTTTATAATTTGCTTTTCCTAAATGCTATCTTGTTCTTTAATTTGCTTTTTTTAGTGCTGAGGATCAAAACCAGCATAAAGCTGGGCTAGCACCTGTACTATCACACTGTACCTCCAGCCCCTCTAAATGTTTTGTTTGTTGATTTGTTTTAATAATCATTCTGATTTGGAAATTCATGTACATAGTATACCTTTCAAAAGACAAAAAGAGACATAGCATGATATTGTTCTTTTTTCTGGTTCTGTTTCCCTTTGTGAGGGAGAATTTCTCATGCATTTTTCTAGAAACATAAGTCCATCTAAATGTGTGTGTGTGTGCGCGCGTGTGCGTACAAAGTACAGTGTCTTCATTCTTAGACACAACAAGTGGGGGGCTGCTTCATTACTTTGAAAAAGAGTATGCTGGGGAACCTGAGTCTCAGGTGCTCAGTTACTGTTTGGGGTTCTGTTTTGGGATAAATTGGTTTTTCATTTATGTGTTTTTGGTCTTTTATTTTTAATTGATTTATAAAAGTACATATAGGGTACTGTGTTATGTTTTAATACATGCATACATTGTGTAATAATCAAATTAGGGTAACCTATCTTAAATAGTTGTCATGTCTTTTTGATGAAAACATTCAAAATCCTTTATTTTTTGTGAATATATGTAGTCCATTATCATTACTTATACTGTACAAAGAACATCAGAACTTATTACTCCTACTTACTATAAGGAAGTACTGTGGATGCTAGGCCTTACAAAAGATAATTTACTTAGGCCTTTAAACAAATACTTTTAACTAGATTTTTTAAATCTCCATCTACTAGAGCATGGTAGGCCTACCAGGGGCCAGACTTTTAAAACTTTTTTTTAATTTGATTTATTTTATTTTATGTGTATGAGTGTTATGCCTGCATGTATGTAAGTTTTAAATATTTCTAATTTTATTATTTTTTATTTTATGTGTATGAGTTTATTGCTTGCATGTAGGTAGGTGCACCCATGTCATGCAATCCCTGCAGAAGACAGAAGAAGGGGTTGGATCACTTGGACCTGGACTTATGGACAGTTGTTAGCCACCATGTGGATGCTGCCTTATGGGTGCTGGGATTCTAATCTGGGTCCTCTGTCAGAGCAGCCGGTGCCCTTAACCCTAACCATCTCTCCAGACCACCCCCCCATCGGGGGTGGGGCAGGGGGGCAGATTCTGACTCCTCTCCCAGTAGCTATCAACTGATGATAGCTTCTCAGCTAGGGGTGGAATATCTTGGGCACCTCCCTTCTCCATTGTAGGACTTTGTCTAGCTTGACCTTGAGTAAGTCTAAGTGTATTACTTCACTGCTTGCCCTGAAAAACACTTTTTTAGTGTTTTATGTCTGAAAAACACTGTTTCTTTGTAGTCATCCAACAGCTCTGGCTCTTATATCTGGCTCTTATACGCTTTCTGTCCTGCCTTCTGCAGTGATCCCTGAGCCTTGGGAGAAGAGGGTATGATATAGATGACCCATTTAGGGTCTCCTGTTAATTGTCATCTATCGCCAAAAGAAGCTTCTCTAATGAGGGTTGAGATGTACTAATCTATGGGTATAACATAAGTCATTAGGAGTAGGTTTAATACTATATCCATTTAGCAGAATTATAGTAGAAGGTTCTACCCTGAAGTCTACAATCTGTGTAACCACATATTTTTGGCCCCAGTAACAGTATGGGTTTCATTTTTTAGAGCAGGCCTTATATCCAATCAGAACGTGGTGGGTTACTCCATTAACATTTGTGTCACTGTTGCCAGTGGACATGTCTTGCTGGGCCTATTAATGCTTTCACAGGTTTCATAACTGGGTAAGAATCATGAATGCTTACTTTTCTCCTCCTGTAGTATATATAGCACCTGCTAGCATTAGGAAGGCTAGCCAGTAGGGATGAAACTTACAGGTCAGTACCAGCTTGATTTCTCTTTGTCTTATGTCTGAAGTAGTATATTCAGCAATGGAATCTTACCATCAAGATCTTTAGGGTAAGCAAGAGTATTGACAATGGCTTGCAATGTTTGGGAGTCTATGGGACCTCACTGGCAAACAGCTCCACAAGAGGAAGTCCATTTCTGGAACTTAACTTATTTGTTAGCCTGTGGTGTCTAGTAGGGGCTTTGCTGGCCCATTATAGGATAGCTCAATTTAATCTCTTTACGCATACATATGTATTTTAGGAAGTTTCTACAGTAGTATATCCATATGATCTTTTCACAAGGTGTTTAGTGTTAGTTATCCCTTCCCTTCCAACTCCCCGCATCCCATTTAACCCTTCCTGTTCCATTATTCCTCTTTCCCCCTTTATACCACTGCGTTCTGTCTTCCTTCCTTTGAACCCTCCATAGGCCCCTACTAATTTCTTGATCTCCATGGGTGTTTTAAATGAAACATATCTGAAGATTGAAGATGCTATCCACAAATGAGAGAAAAGCATGTTACATTTGTCTTTCCAGCTCCATCCTTTTACCATGATTTTAATCCTTGTTTCCATTACTGGTTCTACCATTCTTATACTTTAAAAGTTTAAATATTTAAATCTGGATATACTACTTGATTTATAGACGTTAGAAGTTGATTCTTAGACCCATTCTCTGCATTCCATGTCTTTGAAAAAAGCATATAACATTTGATAGGTATGTTTCATTTAGTACTTTTAAGAGATTAGGTTTTTCTTGTTTTCTTTTCCCTTGTTTTCTTTTCCCTAGCCGTTGTGTTCTGTTCTCATGATAGTCTGTTCTTTTATTTCACTTTCGGCTGCTGTGTCTGGCACCCTTACTTTGTTTATGTAGCTCACTTCTGTTTGTTGTACACATTTTCTCCCTTGCCTTACAAAACCTTCAACGTGGTTTTGTAAATTGGACACCAGAAACCTTAATATCTTGAGTGTTAGATAATTATGATTTATTTTCCTGTTCTATGCACTAATACATTACTACAGGGAGATTTATAATACGAATCTATTAGCATCAGAATCCACAGAACATCTTTTTTATATAATTACCTTTGTGTAAATTATGTTATTCATTGGTGTATGCATTATGACCAGTAACTATTTTGTTATGACATATGTTGGAAAGGATGTTGGGAGGTAGTTTTAATGTTTCATTTTATCTCCCACATACACAGGGCTCATCTTAATACTATAGCTGTGTATCAGTCCTGTGAGATAAAAAGAACAGCTGACTGTTGCTGGTGCAAAGCAAAGATCTAAGACCCTTTTTATGTTTGTCTTGTGTATATATGTGTACTTTTGTACAATTTTGTTTATATTTTCCATATAGGCCCTTTGCAGCCAGTTGCTTGAGGGTATGATTTAATATAGTCAGTTGGTAAAGATGAAGCATGCCAAAAATTTAATTTAAAAAAATTGCGGAACAGCTAGGAACATACGTAGCTTCTCAATGAACTGTTTGTGGTGTGTCCTTCTGCAACCATGTGCTTCTGCTGCCATTAAGTGTTCACAGAGGAAATCGAGACTTTAAACCATCCTTGATGAAAACAAAGACATCCTTTTTCATTTCCTTGTCTTTCACTGCAGAGGATTTGTGGATGACTTAGTCCAAATCCTTCTTGGTGTATCTCATTTACCAGAGAGAAAAAGATAAGCTCTAGAACACAGTTGATTCTAATTGATCTTATATTAAACATGCACTAGTGATTAGTTATGCCAGTTCATTTTTAAAATGTATGAAGGAAGATAGGTGTTCTTCTGCTCTCTTCATTGGATGAACTGAGAAATGTTTTATAAGTAAAGATTTTTATTTTTTTATTTTGGAGACAGGGTCTCCTGTACAGGCTGATCTGGAACTGGTTATGTAGCCAAAGAGACCTTGGTCTTAAAATTAAAAAAAATTTTTTTTTTAACTTTCCAGACTAGTTTTTATCTCTAAAAGTTCAGTTAGGTATTTTACATTTTCTGTAGGGCACGGGTGATGGTACACTGGGGCTGTAGAAGAGTAATAGATAAATGATGGAAAACCTCTTGGTTCCTGGGAATAGGGAAGGTCCAACATCAAGACCTGGCCCAAATGTTGGGGTCAAGACTTTAGCTGGCTATCAAGAGAGGTGGGAAGTCTACTCTTGAGAATCAGTCCTCCCAAGACTAGGTATTGCAAATGACAGAAACCTCCCCTGTCCCCAGAATAAGTCCAGCACAGAGGCAAAGCCACTAACATGTACAACTCGGGACTTTGGGGGATGGGGGTGTGGGGGGTGTGGAGAGGAGCCACTCAGAGAAGGCTGAAACTGCTGCCAAAGATCAAGAAGTCCTCCATCTTCAATCTGCTCCACCATCAGCCTACCACCAGAGGAATGTGGGACCATGGCTCGTGATTGGGGACCAGAGTTCCAGGTTCACATGAGTGAACCACAGCTCTAGCTCACAGGAGGGGACCACAGCTCTGGCTAATAGGACGGGACTGCTCCAAGTTCACAGGAGAGGACTACAAAACTGAACACTTGATTCTCCTACCTTTGTCTCTAAAGTGCTGGGATTATAGGTAGGGACTGCCATATTATCTTTGTTTCCACTCTGAGGTCATGCATTCACATCTTCTACCCAAAACTTCTTTTCCCTTTAGAGATGAAGATGACATCAATGATGTAACTTCCATGGCAGGTGTCAACCTCAATGAGGAAAATGCCAGCATCTTAGCAACAAACTCTGAAATGGTTGGCACACTCATTCAGTCATGTAAGGACGAACCGTTTCTTTTCATTGGAGCTCTACAAAAAAGAATTTTAGACATTGGTAAGTAAAAAACCAGAACTTGAACATTAGGATTAGGTCCAGGAGTAGTTTTTGGTGACAGCAATCAATGAAAGATACCTATGTATTTGGAGCCAAACTGATTTTTGTTTCTCTTTAATTCCAATTTTACTATCATGTGAAAGACTATAGTCGCCCCATATTAAATGAAAAGAGAGACAGATTGGAGAGAGATTCTCCATGAGTTGTACCATGTTTTTTTCTGTGTGTATTTTTTGTTGTTGTTGTTGTTGTTTGTTTGTTTTGATACAGGATCTCCCTGTAGCCCCAGCTGCTTTGTAGACCAGGCTGGACTCAAAGTCACAGAGATCCGCCTGCCTCTGCCTCCCAAGTGCTGGGACTGAAGGCTAGTGCCATCATGCCCAACTGAGTTGTATCATATTTTAAGTCTACTTTCCTAATTAATAAACCAGTATTTTAGCAATGATGTTGTACGAATGAACACTTTGATTTATAATTAAGATCATAATATCTTTTGTCATGAGCAACTATAATTAATGCAGTCAAAAGTAGGAGTTCAGAGGTACTGGCTGTACTGTGCTTGTTGTTTGGTTAAGGGCCTCTCCCCCTCTTCCTTCCTCTGTCCTTCCTTCCTTCCCTTTATCCACCCACCAACCCATCCACCATTCATTCATCCATCCATTTTCTTCCTTGCATATGTAGTTTGTCCTACATAGGACTCATTTCCTTAGTCTGGAACAAACCCCAATATTCCTTCCCCTGAAGGCTTGGCAAACTAACTGGTGTTTTAACTCCTTAATGCCACGTTATCTACAACATTTGTAGAAGTATACTTAGGTTATCAATTTTCCTCCCCTTCCACATTTAATTTCTAGTTTGATTTAAATCTCAGGGTTTTTTTTTTTAAGACTTTTATTCATTTATTTATTTTATTTTATTTTTTTTTGGTCTTTTTTTGAGACAGGGTCTCTGTGTAGTCCCAGGTGTCCTGGAACTCACTATGTAGACCAGGCTGTCCTCGAACTCACAAAGATCTGCTTCTGCCTCCTAAGTGCTGGGATTAAAGGCGCCACCACACCTGTTATAATAAGCTTTAGAAGAAAATTTAAGATTGTGTTCAAAATGGGTTTTTCCATAAAGTGTCAGGTGATATTTTCCATTTTGGGCCTTGTGGTCTTCTGTCACAGCTGCTCAACTCTGCTATTTAGGCTGAAAGTAACATGAACAGCATTGAATAGATGGACAGCACTGTCTTAGTTGGCTTGTGCTGCCATAACAAAATGCCATAACCTTGATGGCTCCAATGACTCACAGTTATTATCACAGATTTGAAAGGGGAAGTCAGATAAGAATGCCCACTAGGGTTCCTGGGGAGGGCTCTTCTTCTCATATAGCTGTCTTCATGCTGTGCTTTCACATGGTCCCCCTTCCCTTAATCTCCAAGTGTCCCACTGCACTGGCTCCAACACTGCCATAGAGTTTCAGCATGCACATTGGGTTCCCATAAAACTTTTTACTTAGATATAGTCAAGATTTTGACCTGTAGGCCATAGTTTGGCAACCCGTGTTTTAGGAGAGTTAGGGAAAACTGTTTACATTTTTAAATTTTAATGATGAAACAGAAACAACAATGTAATATATATATAAAATGTAAACTACAAAAAATATTCTGAATTGCCTAAGCTTTAAATTAAAAAAGGCACAGCATGAATGATGTTAATGAATTTGTAGGGATGTTTTCCATTGATAATAAAATTCCACTCTAGACTAGGCATCAACTGAATCATTTCTTAAAAACAGAAATTATAAAATTTTTCAGTGTTTTAGGTACAATGATTTTTCTGCTTGAATAATGTTAGGATATCAAATGTCAATATTCTTTTTCTTCTAATTACCTAAATTAAATTGCACACACATTCAATAAAATCAATACTAAGCATACAAGCACTAACTAGCTCTCCTTAATCAATTACATTGACTTTGTTAAAGAGTATTAAAAGTGAGAATTTATTTACAGTATTTAACTTGTAACTTTAAGGCAGATTTTATTGTCAACTTAGTGAAGGTTTTTAAACAGGTGTTCCATATGCTCAGGAATTACTTAACATTCATTCATTTCTAATATTTCAAAAATTCACATTTTTTTTTTTGTCTGCTTGTAGTGCTAGTAATCAAACCCAGGGCCTTGCATAACAGTATTCATTTTAAAAATAGATCAATTGCCTCTGCCTTATAAATACACAAAGCTGTTTTCAGAGCTCTACCCCTCAATCACTAATTTTAAATGCTCATTTTCTTTAATTTAGCCATGAAATAGCTTGTCTTCTCCTGTTTACCCTATGCTTAGTTGTAATTTTAATCACAGGGTTGTTTTGAAATTTTACTGTCATTTATATAGACATTCTCTGTTTATACTTTTTTTTTTTTTTTTTTTTTTTTTTGGTCTTTTTGAGACAGGGTCTCCTTGTAGCCCCAGCTGGCCTGGAACTCACTATGTAGACCAGGCTGGCCTTGAACTCACAGAGATCCACCTGCCTCTGCCTCCCAAGTGCTGGGATTAAAGGTGTGCGCCATCACGCCCAGCCTTCTGTTTATACTTTTAAAGTAATTTTGAATTTATAGTTTTTTTTTCCTGCTTCAATCTGAAATTGGAAATGAGTTCAGTTATATTACAGAGTAGTGAATTATATTTTGAAAGCTTTATTTAAAATAAATTGGACTATTTTATATCTTCGCACTGTTTTGTGTAGTATACATTTTAAATTAAATTTAATGTTATGTGATAACGTCAAAGAATATTTGAGTTATTGTAAGTAAAGTTTTTGTAGTTCACCATTTGATGAGAGGATGAGAGTGTATTATAAATTGGCATACAAAAATCAAAACATTTTTTAAATTGCTGTGCATATTTAGAAGCAATAACAGGGGCATGGCAGTGGCCCAGTGGATGAAGCACTTGCCCCAGCACTCGTTCAGAAGGCCAGTGCAGGAGGCACTGAGGAGGCCAAGAAGGCCGGGCAAGTTGGCTCTTCATTCTACAACCCTGGATTTAGAGAGAGTCAGTGGCTTAGTAATTGAAGTGGGGGCCAATGGAGGATGGCATTAGCCTCTGGCCTCCACATGGGAATGCACACACATGAACTCTAATGAACACAACGTACACACACAGGCAAAAACAGACAAAAAAAACCAAAAACCCCCAACCAACAAGAGCTTTTAAAAATCCATGTCCATTTGACTACCTGTATTAGTTACTTGCTGACTCACTTGTGACAAAACACCAAGACCAAAGTAACTCATAGAAGGAAGAGTTTATTTGGACTTAGAGTTCCAAAGGGATAAGAGTCTATCATGGTGGGGAGGCATGGCTGGAGGCAGCCAGAGCAGATTGCTAAGTGCAAACAGGAAGTAGAGAGAGAGCCAACTGAAGTAAGGTTCTGAACTCTCCTACATGTCCTACATGTTCCATGGCCCTGCCCAAACAGTGTTCATATACTTGACCCTGTGGAGGGGCAGGACCACATTACTTAATTGCCTATATCTTTGGACATAATATGTTTTTGGGTGTGTTTCAAATTGTTTTCCTTAAACTTCCTTTCTGATTAGCATAGGAATAACAATTTATTGATTTTAAAAAACCAAGTTATTTAAAAAGATGGTGAAATGATGAGGCGTTGAACACATTTCAACAGGATAATTTATGAAAACATGTTACTCATAATAAGCATGATTGTTAATAGAAAGACTGTAGGTATGTTTATAAATAAGGAATTAACAGATTCATAATTTCAGTTCATTGATCTAAATGTCATAAATTGTTAACAGGATGAAATGTGATTTTCTACCTTTTTAATTGCTAAAATTAACAGAATATAGCACTAATTTCTGCAGTTACCATTTTCCTCCCTGAACACTAAACTTGATTTGTGTTCTTATTAACTTTGTCCTATAAATGACCTTGTAAGGAGAATGATTCTAGAGGCTAAGTGAAACAATGTCTATATTTTCTGAGGCTCCAGGCTAGGTTTTATTAATGTAATGTCTAAGATCTTTGAAGTTGTGACTTTACCAGGAAAATCATAATCTCCAAACCTTTATTCATAATGGGTATGACTTCCAGGGGGAACCAAATACCTGCTGTGCTAATTATTTCAATTATAAGCCACTACTAAAACTTGTAATGGATTTTCTTTGCTTCCACAGGTAAAAAGCATAACATTACAGAGCTTAACTCTGATGCTGTGAACTTGATCTCCCATGCAACACAGGAGAGATTACGAGGCCTTCTGGAGAAACTGACTACAATTGCTCGGCATCGAATGACTACCTACAAGGTAAAGGAAATCATTAAGGAAGTATAAACTCTTGTCTCTGAATAGTGTTAAAAGTAGTTTCTTGGATAGTCATATTCTGGATATGTTTTTTAAATAATGGTTGAGACATTTTCATATTGGTAGAAAAGCCAAGTTTTCTTACTTGCTTTACTTATATGCTTATATAGCAAATCAAATTAAAGTAGGATTTGGAATAGTATCCAGAGGAAGCTTGTCATTGTAGATTGGAATATGCATCTGTTCTGCCCAAGGCTTCTCCTGAAGGTTTTGATTGGGAAGGATGAAGTATTGGCTGCCTGTGTTCTCCTTGGTGGTCTGGAGTCTGCCAGGATGCTTCTGCCTTTTAGTTAGTGACTGCATTGAGTGCTCATACTGGTGTCACTCATCACTGTCTTATTCCTAGTGGTGGAGCAAAATGACTTGTTACCAAGGTGAAAGTACTTGATTTATCGGGATTTTAGGTTTTATTGTTTCTTGGCCTTTTTAGCTAAGATCAGGTGTGAATTGTAGTTTTGGAGGGAGCCAAATACATTGGATGATTTTGGATTATTTATTTATTTATTTATTTATTTATTTATTTATTTATTTATCAGGATCTCCCTGTAACCGCAGCTGTCCTGGAACTCACTATGTAGATCTAGACCAGGCTGGCCTTAACTCACAGAGCTCCGCCTGCCTCGGTCTCCCAAGTGCTGAAATTAAAGGCGTGCCGGATTTTTTAAAATTTATTTTTGTTTATTTATATTAGAACTCACTCTGTAGCCCCAGCTGTCCTTGAACTCACTATGTAGACCAGGTTGGCCTTGAACTAAGGGAGATCCGCCTGCCTGTCTCCTGCCTCTGTCTCCCTAGTGCTGGGAATAAAGGCGTGCACTACCACGCCCCAGCTGGATTATTTTTTTTTTTTCAAAAAAGATAACTTGGGATGAAACAAAATCAGCCCATCTTTATTATTTCTCTTTGGATAGGTAATGTTCAAACATGGGTATATGGGTATCTTTATATGGTTTTAAGTTTGCATTGGGGTTGTTCATTGCTGTGACTTCCTAGCCACATAGATTAAAGGACATCCAGAATGTCAGCTGCCCTAACTCCACAGCTCCCTGGAGGAATCCTCTTACTTACTTTTGACTTCATCTAGAACTATGGATACTTGCCAAAAATCTTTGTGAGAATTTGGGAGCTGTACTTAAAAATACGGAATCAGCATGAGAAGAAGCTGTGTAAAACAGCATCAGGTTTCCATTTTGTGGGACTCTAGGCATCTGCATTTCTTGTAAGTTGTCGGCCTCTCCTGTAAGGTCAGGCAGTAGTCGTCATTCCACTTTGCTTTTTTTCCTTTGTTGCTATAGCTGTTTTGTGATTTTACACAGAATCAGATATTTTTTGTTTCATTGAATTTTTGTGTTTTCAATTTTATTTATTTCTGTTCTAGTATTTATTATTTCCTTCTCTTAGCTTTGGGTTTAGTTTGTTCCTTTTTTAATTCCATAAAGTGTAATGGTAAGTTATTGACTGAAATAATTTCTAATGTAAACATTTACTGCTATAAATTTCTCTCTGCTTGCTGTTATAACCCCATTTCATACATTTTAATATGTTGTCTTTCTATTTTTCTTTTCTTGAATTTCTGTGACCCATTGGTTCACTTTATGTTTAATTTCCACATATTTGTGACCTTTTTTGGTTTTCCTTTTTGGTTTTTTGGCTTTTTACTTTATTGTGCGAAGAAAGGAAACTTTGTATGATTCAAATATTTTAAATTATTGAAACTTGTTTTGTAACCTAACGTGTTGTTAACTGGATAATGTGTTCATATATGCCTGTTACCTAGTTGGTTTATAATGTTGTCATCTGTTTCTTTGATTATCTGCCTATATATTCAGTTTGTTATTCAAAACAATGTGTTAAAATATATTTGAGTTTAGTAATAGAAGGTGTATTTGGTATACATGAGGCTCTAGGTCCAATTTCTAGTACCAAATAATAATTCCATCAATGTTTGCTTCATATATTTGAGGCCTTTGTTATTTAGTTTATGTAGATTTTGTTAACCATCTTTTTGTAACTATAACAGCTACCTAAGCTAATTGGCTTAAAACAAAGAAAGGTTTAGCTTGGCTCACAGACTTGCAGACTCTAGTTATTGGATAGTTGCACTTATTACTTTTATGCCAGTGGGGAGGCACTGAGGCAGTAGAGTGTCTGTGGAGCAATGCCAGTTAGCTCAAGGCAGCCAGAACTCAAAAGAGAAAGAGCGATGGGGCTGATGTCCCAGTGTTTGCTTTAGGAGATAGAATGTTAAAGAGTCTACCACCTTCATTAGCCCATTGACTTGACCCTGCAGGCAACACATGGTCCATTGTACATTGAAATCTCGTAACACCCCTTTCTCCTTCCCCACCTCCAGTTAAGAAACAGGGAGAACTTGTATTAAAAAAGAAAAGTAAAGAAAGAAGCAGGGAGATCTCACTGTGTGGTCTTGGACTTCTGGATTCTGCCTCACCCTCCAGAATAGCCAGGGTTATAGGAGCATCCTGTCATAGTCTCTCTCTCTCTCTCTCTCTCTCTCTCTCCCTCCCCCTCCCTCCCTCCCTCCCTCTCCCATTATGTGTATGACGCCTCTTTGTACTTGAGACAGGGTCCTGGGATTGAACATATACACCACCATGCCCGGCTCAGCTTTTTTCTTTTAATGGATTTTGACTTAAAAGTCTATGTTGTTTCACATTAGCACACACAATCATGCCTTTTTTCTTGGGGGGGGGGCGTCCTTTTTGAGACAGGGTCTCCCTGTAGCCCCAGAGATTCACTTGTTTCTGCCTCCCAGGTGCTGTGATTAAAGGTATGCACCACCATGCCCAGTTTTCTTTTGATTCTTAATTTCCTTCAATATCTTTTTTCATCCTTCACTTTCAACCTTTAAAAAAAAAAAAAAAAAAAAAAAAAAAGGCATATCAGCCTTGCATTGTGGTGCATGCCTTTAATCCCAGCACTGGGGAGGCAGAGGCAGGCGAATCCCTGTTCCAGGCCACCTGGGGCTATAGGGAGACCCTGTCTAAAAGCCCCCCCCCAAAAAAATTGTATATATTAATCTATTACTGTATAAACATTTGTCTTAGACATTTTTATTTTCCTTTGTGTATTTTCTAGACTTTTTTTAAGTGGGTGGTACAGAATTTACAACTAACAATTCAAAACCTGTAACAGTGCTGTTTGAATGGAAAGCAGCTTGTCTCCAACATTGGGAAGTTAGTCTTCAGTTTAACTTTTTAGTTCAGTTCTTAGAAGTGTGCTAGAAATTTTCACACCTGGATTCTACCTACTGGCTTAATCACACTGCTACAGAAATACCGTGGATATGTCAAATTCTAGAGAAAGGATTCTATACAAAAGGTAATAATATTTGCAATTATGTGTGGGGAGAATTTTTCAAATCAATGCCTTCTGCGTGCCATTCACAGTTCTGTTGTTTAGCCTGCTGATAGACTCTATTATTTCTCAGTAGCTGTGTTAACTAGAATTTAGTTGCCCTAGGAAAATGAATAGCATGGGGATGGCCCACCCGGAAGACCTCAATAGTTTAGATCAAGGATAAATACTTCCTAAGCGTCCTTTATACACTGACTGTTCTGATTGATTTACCCTGCCTCCCTTTCCTTACACTTATTCTTGGCATAACTAGTATTGCTATCTGAATTTGCTTGTATAGAAAGGCAGATGAATTTTTATGTGTATGAACATTTTGCCTGAATGTAAATGCATGTGTGCCATGCATTGTCCCTGGAGGTCAGAAGAGGGCGCCATGTAGGTGCCAGGAACCCAGCACCACTGGAAGAGCAGACAGTGCCCTTAACCACTGAGCCATCTTTCCAGGCCTGAATTAACCCTTCTTTAAACAGAAATAATAATTATTTAATTATATTTGAATTTAGCTGAAAATTACCTTTAGTTTATAGACTTTAATTGTAGTCGTCTTTATCACAGATTTGGCCTGGTCTTTAAGTCTCAGTTTCCCCTGGGAGAATTTATTTTTATCTACACAATGAAAGAAATTCTACTTAACAAAGTTATAAAAAAGTGAACCACTATTATTAAAAGCAACATTCTTCCATCCATCTCTTTCCATATTGGATACCACTTATTTTTGATGTTTTACTTCATTAGGTATAATTCTCTAATTAATCATAGGCCGTAAACTCAAATTTAAATAAAGGAGAAAGTGGCATGCAGTATAGAGCTTTTATCCTGCCAGGTGTTTTCCTGCCAAAGCTGGAGGCTTTGTGCCTGTGGCCATCCATGGAGACCTTTCATTCTCTAGTTGAAAGGTGCTGTGTTGGTTCCTTTAGATGGGATTCACCTGATAAGTGACGATGTTATTGGGTCTTGGTATGTAGTGGCTTTAACACTGTAAACTCTGCAGTGTCGGCCCATGAGCATTTCAGTTAGTTAGTTGATCCACAGAGCCAGGAAGGAGTGGGGCAAGACTGGAGTTTCCTGCTCCAAGGGGGCAGGGATTCAGCAGGAATAGGGAAAGGTACTGTCCCCTTGGCTGGAAGAGAAATTCTGCCTTAGGCAGTTGTAGAGCCAAGAGAGGCAATTTAGCATGGGAATTGATAGAGTTAAAACTTAGAATGGGGGCTGGAGGAATGGCCCAGTGGTTAAGAGCACTAGTTGTTCTTGCAGAGGACCCGGGTTCTATTCCCAGCACCCACATGGCAGCTAACAATGGTCCTAACTCCAGTTTAAGGGGGATCCAACGCTCTCTTCTGACCTGCAGGCATTACACAACATGGGTGCACTTACATACATGCAAGCAATACACTCATATGCATAAAATAAAAATAAAATAAATATATTAAAAAAAAATAAAAATACTAAATAAAAAAAAATAGAATGCTTATTGTCCCTTGTAAGCTAAAGTCTGTCAGTAAACTGTCTCCAGAGTTTCTGAACCAAAAATGGTAGTAATGAAGAATTTTTTAAGAACTACTGTTATATTTTTGACTCTATGGCTGACCTGTAATGCCTTCCATGTTCTGTCTTACATTATTTAGCTTTAGAGACCATTTGGGAATTCTTTTTGTATTAAACTCAAAGCAAAAGAAGTAGCACTAATGCATCCTTCTTCCTTTAACTATGTAATACTCTTTTGATCTAGCTAAATTGCAACAATAAGAATTTAATTTTAAAAGAATCTTAGCCATATGAAATCTCTTAGTTCAAGTTAGTGTTGAAATAGCCATAAGCATGGGGATAAAGCAGAGATGGAGATGGCAGCAGTGCTGTCGAGGTTCCCAAGCCAGGCACTGGCTCTTGAACTGAGTGTTTAGTGTTTTAAGCTGTAAAGTCCCCCTAAGGTGCGTAATTGCTTAGATGAGTAGGTGGGAGGGTGTCTCAAATAACTGATTAGGAAAACCCTCCTGCTTCCCTGCTTCCCTACCACAAACCACACAGGCAGGTGTCTGAATTACAGGGGAGAGCTACATGGTCCTAAGTGAAGGAAATTAGAAAATACTTGGATTCAAAGCGCTGTTTTATACTATAGCATATAAGAATAAATGAGATAATTTAATTTTATCATTTTATAGGATATTTAATGAAGGTAATTATAGTTCTTTGTTATGGTTCTCATTTGTAAATCGCATGTCTTCCCACTACTTGGGAGGGTAAGGTAGGGGCGTTCCCAGTTCCAGGCCCGCCTGGCTTATCTAACATAAGAACCTGCTTCAAAAATAAATTAGGTAAAATAATACAAACAAATTATATGCATAATTACTTAGAGTAAAATTTTTGTCTAAATTTAGACCGTTAAGGGAATCTTGCAACCAGGGTTTCATTTTAATGTTTGCCCTCTCCTGCTCCATTTGACTAGAAGTGGTCTTAGTTTGTTAAGATTACCGGTCTAACCATGGTAACCAGAAGATAACCTTTTTATTTAATGTGTCTTTCGTGAGGTGATTGTCTCTTGCTTTTCATCTAAGATTTAATTGCTCATTAATGTCTGCTGAAATAGGTTATAAACTGACTAAAGAAAATTGAGTTATAGGTAAGGGTATATTCTTTTGGATTCTAATTCCTTTTGCTTGGATCTGCTTGTCTTAATTTTCCAGCCTCTGAATGGTGTCTGGTAGGAATTATTCCTGAAATGTAAATGGTAATCATCTCTCAAATTTTAAGGATGATTAAGGTTCCTGGCTTTTGTTTGTTTGCTTGTTTAACAGAAACAAGAGTAGCTCCCTATATGTGCCAGTTTGCTCTCTCTTCCCCCCCCTTTTTCTTTTGTATTGTCTATGACACCTAATGCAGAATGTGTTGCCCAGAATCCTGAGACTGTTTTCTTTTCTAGGCAAGTGAAAATTACATCTTGTCTACTGATACTAGATCACAGCTCAAATTCCTTGAAAAGCTAGATCAATTGGAAAAACAGAGAAAGGATTTAGAAGAAAGAGAGATGCTACTTAAAGCAGCCAAGGTAAAACATTGTGTGATTTGTGAGAACACAGCCTGGCCTGGCAGTGCAGTCATTGGTTGACTGTCTTGATTTATTAAACCTTTAGATTTCTCTTGCGGGTTTCCTAAAATGCTATCACTATCGCATGTCTCATAGCTGGGGTGGTGTGCTACAGTAGCTTTCAGTTCATTTAGATTAGTGAGTCATGACCTTTGTCTCCTCACTCATTTTTCGTATCATTGCTACCCCCTGCCCGCCCTCCAGGTGAACTTTTTTTTTTTTTTTTTTGGT